TTTTTTCTTTTTCTTTAAAAAGATGTAGCAGTGTGCTGCAAAAAGAGAGCAGCTACAGACCAGATTGGCAACAAAAATGATGCTGCACCTTGAGCGCCTCAAACTTAAAACAGAACCTACCAAAATAAAGCCCTGCTTAGAAAAAAAGTTTAACCTGAAATAAAGACACTTTCAATATAAATAAAAAAGTCCCAAAAATAGTGTTCCTCATTGGTTAACTGCTGACCCTAAATCAACCACTAAATGAAATTACAGGCAAATAAGCTCTCAACACAAAGAAAATAATTCTCAAAGAGTTAATTTCCCAAAGAGCTGACTTTAATCTCTCCCTATGCAATTTGTCATCTTTCCCTACAGTAGCTTCAAATACACTGACAGTGTGATTTACTAAAACTGGAGAGTGCAAAATATGTTGCAGCTGTACATAGTAACCAATCAGCTTCTAACTTCAGCTTGTTCAATTATTCTTTGACAAAAAAAGGAAGCTGATTGGTTTCTATGCTCCAGATTTTTGCACTCTCGAAGTTTAGTAAATCAACCCCAATGGCTGCTCTTGTGCCCCCCCCCCCCACCCTTTCCCTTTTAAAATGAAGGGGCTAGCACATGACAGAGCCCCCCATATTAGGCCTTTTTAAGACAGATGACCTATGTTCAAAGGCCTATGCAGTGCATTATGGTTACAAAGAATTCACCAAAAACTGGCCAGAGCTGTCAACCTCATCCTTAGGCAGCCCATAGATGAGTCCATTTTCTTTCCTTCCACCACAGATGGTAGGATTAAAATCACTTGATTCCCCCATGAGCACAGTCAGTGTTGATGGGGGAATGCCTCACCAAGTATTATTGTGTGCTGCTTGCGAGGGTTGCGGTGAGCCTTCCCAGCCAGCAGAACACAATGATTACTGCAAGTGGCTATAGCCGCAGGCAGTAATTGCATGTAAAAAATATCTGTCAGGCTAGTTGTACCCAAGACAATTGATGGATCAACTTGGGTACAATCAGCCTGCCCATACAAGGATCAAAATTTGTCTGGTCCTTGCTGAATCTGCCAAATTTTGATAGTATAGTGATTTTGAAGTATAGCTGGCTTTAGATAAAACACTGTTTGTCTTTGAAATCATGCTGGAAACATTGGAAATCACATGCTGTCGGTGTAATGAATCCGCTGGGGTTGTGAGACCTCAGGTTACTTACCATAGTTACCAACATTTGCAAAAATTTTTAGGGACACCTTTTTTCCTGTATGACCAGAAACACAGTGTAGGCAGAGCAGTATGTTAATTAGGGGTAGGGCATAAATTCATGGGTGTGGCCTAATAAGAAAAAGAGGATGGCTTTGCATGCCCTGCGAACAAATGGGTGTGGTTTAAATTACGCTTAAATGTTGGGCGTGGCTTAAAGGGGGTGTAGTTAAACAGAGTCTGAGATTCTCTTGGGCTCCCCCCCCATGCAATTTTGCTCTCCACCCCAACATCCCAAAAAACAAATAAACACAATCATAGACTTAAAAAAACTTAATGTAAACATAAAGAACTGGTTTACACTCACTGATTGGTTGCTAGAGGTTACAGCACATCATTACCACTCACTGATTGGTTTCTAGAGGTTACTGTTGTTAGTACAGGACTATGGTCTGAGTCTGCAGGCATAGTACAGGAGTTGGTCAGGGACTGCAGGCTAAGTAAAGGAGATAAATAATATAATAGTGTAGCGCTTGATAACATATAAAAACAACTAAAATAAATAAATTAGGTACATAAACCTAGTGACAACTCACATAGTGTCTAAAAAATAAGTGCTCTAAACAAGTGTAACTTAACTCATGAGTGAAAAACCTCATAAAACATATTAGTGTTGTAATAACCATTCAGCATAATATTTGTGTTAGTGCCACTCCTAATCAATAATACATGTGATCGTGCCAAATCACTAAAAGTAAATGTATTGTCCAATATCCAAAAAACAAATATAAAACAGTGAAGTCCAAGTGATGCTTAAATACACATGCAATGTGTTAACATGGTGTCACTCGTGAAAAATCCACTCTTCCACTTTGGCTGCAATGCCTCCTCACCTCCTTCCTACGACCCCTAGGGGCCAACAAGCCTTTAGGATCAACTTGGATCCTCAGCACTCCTGGATGGTACCTCTCAGGTTATCCTTCTGTTTGTCCTCCTCCACACCTTTCCGCCTCACGGAGACCTCTACTCCAATCCTCTGTAAATCCTCACTCTCACAATGGTGAGTTCAAGAAAAGAAATCCTCCATAGTGTAGTAGTTAAAATACCAGCATTTTATTTATAGAATAGAAAGTCACTCACATTGTGTACAGCGTTTTTCTTCTCCCCTGCATGGGTAAACTGCACTCATGTAAGGCTCTAGGAAAATGGCGTCCCGTACCGGAAGTACGTCACTCGGGACTCCGGAAACTGCGTCTCTGCGTGCCTACGCGTTACGTCACGTACCTCGTGACTTCATCTGACCCAGATGAAGTCACGAGGTACGTGACGTAACGCGTAGGCACGCAGAGACGCAGTTTCCGGAGTCCCGAGTGACGTACTTCCGGTACGGGACGCCATTTTCCTAGAGCCTTACATGAGTGCAGTTTACCCATGCAGGGGAGAAGAAAAACGCTGTACACAATGTGAGTGACTTTCTATTCTATAAATAAAATGCTGGTATTTTAACTACTACACTATGGAGGATTTCTTTTCTTGAACTCACCATTGTGAGAGTGAGGATTTACAGAGGATTGGAGTAGAGGTCTCCGTGAGGCGGAAAGGTGTGGAGGAGGACAAACAGAAGGATAACCTGAGAGGTACCATCCAGGAGTGCTGAGGATCCAAGTTGATCCTAAAGGCTTGTTGGCCCCTAGGGGTCGTAGGAAGGAGGTGAGGAGGCATTGCAGCCAAAGTGGAAGAGTGGATTTTTCACGAGTGACACCATGTTAACACATTGCATGTGTATTTAAGCATCACTTGGACTTCACTGTTTTATATTTGTTTTTTGGATATTGGACAATACATTTACTTTTAGTGATTTGGCACGATCACATGTATTATTGATTAGGAGTGGCACTAACACAAATATTATGCTGAATGGTTATTACAACACTAATATGTTTTATGAGGTTTTTCACTCATGAGTTAAGTTACACTTGTTTAGAGCACTTATTTTTTAGACACTATGTGAGTTGTCACTAGGTTTATGTACCTAATTTATTTATTTTAGTTGTTTTTATATGTTATCAAGCGCTACACTATTATATTATTTATTTGTACACTGTTTGTGGGTATCAGTTAGAGTGTTAGCGGCTGTTAACTAGGGAAAGGGGAGGGTGGTTCATAGCAGCGCAGGAGGAGGACTCCCAATATAAGTAAAGGAGATAGTCAGAGACTGCAGGTGTAGTACAGGAGATGGTCAGAGACTGCGTACCTGGCACAAGAGATGATCAGAGACTGCGTACATGGCACATGGGATGGTCAGAGACTGCGTACATGACGCAAGAGATGGTCAGAGATTGCAGACACGGTGCAAGGGATGGACAGAGACTGTGTACACTGCGCAAGGGATGGACAGAGACCGTGGACATGGCGCAAGGGATGGACAGAGACTGGGGACACAGCGCAAGGGATGGACAGAGACTGGGGACACGGCACAAGGGATGGACAGAGACTGGGGACACGGCGCAAGGGATGGACAGAGACTGCGTGATACTTGGCAACTATGACTTACCCTGAAACAGATCAACTACTTGCCTTTGCCCAAAGAGTGCGTGCCGATGAACATGGTACAGTAAATTAAAAAATTATGATTTGGATCCTGTATCAAATCATACACATCCGAGACTCAGGGTCTGATTTATAAATTTACCATCTAAGAAGACTTAAGGAAAAGTATGAACAGTCCACCATTAAGACCAATATGATCTTAGATTCATGTGAAAAATCAAACACCTTTGGTTATTATGGGTGGCTGCTCCTCTTCCTTACCAGTGTTTAAACATCAGACCACCTGTAACAGAACATGATCCAAATAGGAAAAACAGGTTGGCAGGAAGCGACATCACTATGGCATTAATCAATATACCACGTAAACAATTGGCTGGGGCTTTATGACTTAGTAACCAAACGTGAACTACGTCTAAGCATACTAAGGCTGCTGTTACTGCTTGACAATAAACCTCCTGATCTCTGGAGCAGAAAAAAGATTGGCATTTATGAACTTATTAAAAGAAACTTTTATGGGACAATTTATAAATGTCTTAACTAAAAATGATGCTCTGCTGGACCAACATGTTATTCTTAAACAATGTAAAATAAAAATTATAATGACAGATCTTGCTGAGGGCCACTAGGCAAAAAATAAACAGATAGGAAATGTTGTCAACAGAGGGCACAGACAAAAGTAGAGTAGCCATTTCAAATAGACAATAGCAAAACCCTTTTTGGCTCAGTCATCAATTTAATGCAAATCCATAAACAATAAGAAAAGAACACTAAAAAATGTACATAAAACTGAAGAAACACTTTCCTCATTTAAAAGTTACAAAAAATGCAACAAAAGCTGATAACTGGAAATGAGGATGGCAAACAATTCAAAACAAACAGCAAGCAAAACAAAACCCCAAAAATACTTTAACCACTTGCCCTCCAGAGGATTTACCCCCCTTCCTGACCAGGCCATTTTTTGCGATACGGCCATTTTTTGGATACTTTAACTGACAATTGTGCGGTCATGCAATGCTGCACCCAAATGAAATGTATGTCCTTTTCTTCCCACAAATAGAGCTTTCTTTCGGTAGTATTTGATCACCTCTGCATTTTTAATTTTTTTTTTTATTTGCGCAATAAAAAAAAAGATCGACAATTTTGAGGAAAGCAAAACAATATTTTTGACTTTTTGCTATTAAACATGTCCACTAAAAAAAATGTAAAAAAATCAAATTTCATCATAAATGTAGGCCAAAATGTATTCTGCTACATGTCCTTGCTAAAAAAAAAGATCCCTATACATGTAAATTAATTGGTTTACCTGAAAGTTATAGCATCTACAAATGATGGTATATATACTGGAATTTTTTTCTTGTTATACTAGTAATAGCAGTGATAATGGAGCTGCGGGACTGCAGGACTGCTGCAGGAATTCTGACACTGAAGCAGGGGTGGACTGACAACTCATGGGGCCTCTGGGCAATAGGGGATCACGGGGCCCCTGTGTCCTTGCCCAAACTCAAAAAAGCCTATTAAAAAGGTACCAGGGGCATCTCATGGGGCCCCCTACTGACCCCGGGCCCTCGGGCAGTGCCCGAGTTTCCAAATGGTCAGTCCGTCCCTGCACTGAAGGGAACTAACTGTCACTGACATCCCCAGTGACACTAATACAGTGATCAGTACTAATAAAAAGCACTGACACTGTACTAATGACACTGGGCAGGAAGGGGTTATCATCTGGGGGCGATCAAAGGGTTAACTGTGTGCTGTGTTGTGTTTTATTGTGTAAACACACTGCTTTGTATGGCTGTGCTATGCAGAGCCATACAAAGCAGTGTGCAGGAGCTGACAAGGGGATCTGTATTGTTTACATACAGGTCTCTCCGCCATTGGTGATACACGGCGATTGCCAAATTCCGACGGGGAATCACAGGCCAGGACACAGTGATTGACAGGTGAGGCCGGCAATGGAGCACGCCCCCTACCTGAAAATGCGAAATCACAGATATATACGTGATTTTGTGCACCCCTGCCACCCTGTAGCAGTATTTCTGCTATAGGGCAGTTGGAAAGCGGTTAAATATATTAATAGGAAGAAGACTAGGCCTGAGTACTTAGCACACTGATGACCAAACAAAAGCACATTTCCTTTATTCTCCTCCAGCTGGCGTTGTGCACATACTGTATGCGTTAGCACTGTGGGTGGGCAGAGAGTGCACTCATTGTGTGCTCTCATCAGTCACTAAGCTGTCACTGACTGCGCCTGGTCACAACTGGGAACCAGTAGGCAGGGCTGCTGAGCATATACAGTTGTGTTCAAAATAATAGCAGTGTGTTGAAAAAAGTGAATAAAGCTCAAAATCCTTCTAATAGCTTTTATTTCCATACACACAAATGCATTGGGAACACTACACATTCTAATCCAAATCAAAACATGAAGAAAAATATATCAAATTTGTGTTGTTCCTCTAAAAAAATTGAAGAAAAGTGAATATTAGACTCTTCAAAAAAAATAGCAGTGTTTGTATTCTTCTTTACAAACTCAAACATTCACTATATAAACTGAAAAATGTTTGAAGATTTTGCTTTCCTTTGAATCACTTAATGAATATTTCGTTGTATAAGCACTGTTTCTGAGAACTGCTGTACATCTGTGTTGCATGGAGTCAACCAACTTCTGGCACCTGTGAACAGGTATTCCAGCCTAGGATGATTGGACGACATTCCACAGTTCTTCTCTATTTCTTGGTTTTGCCTCAGAAACTGCATTTTTGATGTCACCCCACAAGTTTTCTATTGGATTAAGATCCGGGGATTGGGCTGGCCACTCCATAACGTCAATCTTGTTGGTCTGGAACCAAGATGTTGCACGTTTACTGGTGTGTTTGGGGTCGTTGTCTTGTTGGAACACCCATTTCAAGGGCATTTCCTCTTCAGCATAAGGCAGCATGACCTCTTCAAGTATTCTGATGTATTCAAACTGATCCATGATCCCTGGTATGCGATAAATAGGCCCAACACCGTAGTATGAGAAACATCCCCATATCATGATGCTTGCGCAACCATGCTTCACTGTCTTCACAGTGTACTGTGGCTTGAATTCAGTGTTTGAAGGTCGTCTGACAAACTGTCTCCGGCCACTAGACCCAAAAAGAACAATCTTACTTTCATCAGTCCACAAAATGTTGCGCCATTTCTCTTTAGGCCAGTCAATGTGCTCTTTGGCAAATTGTAACCTCTTCAGCACGTCTTTTTTTTCAACAGTGGGACTTTGCGGGGGCTTCTTGCGGATAGCTTGGCTTCACATAGGCGTCTTCTAATTGTAACAGTACTCACAGGTAACTTTACACCTTCTTTGATCTTCCTGGAGCTGATTGTTGGCTGAGTCCTTGCCATTTTGGCTATTCTTCTATCCATTCGAATGGTAGTTTTTCGCTTTCTTCCACGTCTTTAAGGTTTTGGTTGCCATTTTAAAGCATTTGCGATAATTTTAGCTGAGCAACCTATCATTTTCTGCACTTCTTTATATGTTTTCCCCTCTCCAATCAACTTTTTAATCAAGGTACGCTGTTCTTCTGAACAATGTATAGAAACGACCCATTTTCCTCAGAATTTCAGAGAGAAATGCACTGTAACCAGCATGTACAACATTTGCTGCCTTCCTTCCTTAAATAAGGGCAATAATTGCCACCTGTTTTTCAAAGAATGAATGACCTCACTAATAGAACTCCACACTGCTATTATTTTGAACATGCCCCTTTCAATTAGTTCAATTACACAGAATCAGCAGCATGCATGTCATGACTGTTGGGTCTGTTGGATTTCTATTTCTCTACTACACCTGCTAGTAAATTATTTGCAATGTAGAAATATCATTTCTACCAAAAACAGTGATTGATCAAGTTAGTGATGTCTGACTGCTATTATTTTGAACACAAATGTAAATGCTGCAACAGCATATATAACCAGCATCTCTGCCTCCCATCTTTAAGAACCCCCTAAAGGGCTTGTGGGGTGCCAAGGGGTTAATAACTTCTTCAGTTGTGTCTATACAAAGAAAAATGAAATAGTTGGATTTGGTGTTGACACAACCTCAAAGGAACTCCAATGGCCTCAAACTGATACGGTCCATAAACAGACAAAATTAGGGTAAATGAAGCAATGTGGACCAGCTTGCCTACACCCACGTATCATGAAAGAATTGCACTCCCTTACTTCTAATCATTAGTTTCTACTTCTTATTGACTGGCTTGGTGCTAAGGATTGGTCAATGTGGTGCCTATATTTAAAAAGTAATCAAGGTCCTCACTTGGTAACTACAGGGCCGGTAAGCTTTGCTTCTATAGTCAGAGTTTGATAACAGCATGCAATGCCAATCTTCTACAGGTAGCAAGATACTTACTTGTTGTAAAAGAGGTATAGACACGGGAGAAAGAGAGTTGAAAATCTTCACACAATAAATTCTGTGAATATTCACATATATTTTTTACTTACTGTTTACTTATTTCATTTGTATGACTGGATAATTGAAGCAAATGTTCACACAGTTTGATATGTGAACGCTCTCAACTCCTTTAGTAAATTGGCCTAAAATTCTTGCCTCCGTACAAAGCATTAGTAAGACCTCTTCTTGAACAGTACTGTTCTGGGCACCAGTTCACAAAAAGGATGCCGCAACAATGGGGTGAGTACAGAGAAAGGCAACTAATTGTATAAGGGGCATGGAAGTTCTCAGCTATGAGCAAAGATTAACTGAATTTATTTGCCTTTGACAAGAGGCAAATAAGGGGAAATATGATCATTGAGGCCCGAAAATGTCAAGACAGTACAGATATCTCCCAAATAATCCCTTTTTGCAAAGTAGACAGTCTGTGGTATTTAATAAGAGGCATGGTGAGTTTTCTGAAGTTGTAATTTTTTTGTAATAATTTTTTGGAAAATTAAGAAATTGAAAAATAATTTTTTACACATTTTTTTTTTCTTACATACTATCACCAGTGTAATACTGTGTCACCATATAATGGGTGTGGTGGTGATCAGGGACACTGACTGGTGACAGTATGAAAAAAAAATTAATACAATGTTTATTATTTTTTTTTTTTATTACTTTTTTTTCTTTTTTTAAGATTGTTTTTCATAATATACTGTGACCAGAGTAGCATAATGTTACTATAGTAATATTGTACTACTTTGGGGAAGTAATGTTTGTTTGTTTTTTATACTTATGATTGCTTATAGGAAAGAATTTCTCTGCTATAAGCAAGCATTTAACTTAATGAAATCGATTCATTCAGGTTTTTTTTGTTGTGATTAGCTGTGATTGGCTACTGTTAATCACATGACACAAATGGGCTGTGATTGTCCCAGCTTGTACATTTGATCACTATAACCAGTTACAGCTAGGTACACAATTGTATACAATGGATGGCATGACAGGAAGCCAACCAACCACTGTTTACCCTTGCATGTGACCTGCTGTGATTGGTCACAGCAAGTCACATGGTACTGGCAATGGTTCAGTACACAGATCTGTCATTGGCTGTGTCCAAGGTACACAGCCGGTGACAGATCTCGCCACACTGCAGCCCCGCTGGCACACACTCGGCACGATATGGGAAGGACATCTTACGACGCCAACCTGGATCAACGAGAGTCCTGCTCGGCCGTCATTCTGCTATTGGCCAGGCAGGAACAGGTTAAGGTTGTTGAAAATGACAATGGTTGCACTCTTTGCATCTGGAGGAAGAGAGGTTTAATTCCAGTATATGTGTAGCCAGGTACTGGCTATATCAATATGCCTTTCAGGGACATTTACAGATGAGACTATGATTACTCCATTTTCCCCTAGTGCCCAGAACTGGGACTGCTACATCACTTCCTGTTAGCAGAGTGGATCAAGTTCGTCTGACAGTAGAGGATCTTGGGACCTGTAGTCCAATAGCCAATACATACTTTATTCCTGAGTGCTGATCTAACTAGAACTACCAGAGACCTGGTGACAGAAAGGAATGCTTGTTGGCTTACTGCTGTGAGACTCTGCACTTCAGTTCAGCACAGCGGTGATGCTGATCGCCACACTGGGATCACATCAGCTTATCTGCATTGGGACTGTCACTATCCAATCTTCACACAGACATCTCTGCTCACTGTGCTAACGAACTGTCAGGCGGTAACTCACCCCTGCAAATAGCCAAGAGCCTGGGCAAGAGCTCTTGTTACTTTCTGTCATCACTCTACAGACTCTGCATGTAGACACCTTTACACCTCTGTACCTGGAGATCTTTGCTTTGAGCAATACTACAATCTATCTGTTTAACATCATTGAATTACCAGTAGTCACTAATGCTTATGGACCCCACCATTGCAAGCAGAAGACAACAGACACCACCATATCAGGAACTTTAAACATCAAGTTGCAATCTCTAGTTGAAGGGACCCCCTCTCTTCTAAGGCCATTGTAGTTCAAATTAGGACACTTATATCTATTTATGCCAGAGTATAATTCTCTGCATCCCCCATTGCGGTGTCGGTGGTCTAAAGGGAGCTGATAAGTCAACAAGCCTTTTCTCCCCCCTCTTACTGCTGGTGTTGTAATTTAATAATTGAATCCTACTACTCATGACTGTATAATTTGTTACACGTTGCTAATTGATTATTCCTATTTTACCAGTGTTCTATTTTTATGCATTGTATATCATAAAGCCATTATTCGTGTGGGGCTACTGTTTTGAAGAAGACTAATA